TGTATAGACTTGTTTTAATTGCTATCATTTTCAAAATAATTTGAAACAAAGTACTAGAAGAAATCACTGGTAAAATATTAAAATGACTGCAAAGATCAGCAGGTAATGTCCGTGTTAATATAAATATCATACTTTTGCCACTTTTACGGTTTGCAATATGACAAGCCTAATTCCCTTTGTTAATTTATGAGAAATATCAACAATCTGGGTAAGAACATTTGAAAAGTTTGTTGAATTTTACTCTGGCTAAATTGTCCATCACAATTTCATCATTGCTGGCAAGTTTCTGCCTCATTTCGTACCTGTTAAATGTGTTATTGCTTTGTTTATACTTCTAAAATCTAATTTCTACAGCTGTTCAGTGCATTGAAATACTATACCGAGTTGATTTACACTTCTCTCTTGCTTTTTCATCTTCTTTATAAAGTCAGGAATAATATACCATTCTGCAGTTTTTATTTAGTGTTTTTCCCATAGCCTGTTTCAAACATCTAAAAGAAATCTTGCAAAACAGGAAGACCCAACTGTCTCACTGATAATGGTGCTTATTCTAAATGGGTTCAAATCTAATTTAATTAAGGTTCAAATCTTGGGGCACAGTTAAAAGTAACAGATTTCAGGTGTGACTAGAGATCACCCCTCAAGGAGTGAGTGGATTCTGAGAATGCTCTACATCAGTGATCTATAGCCCTGGAGTGCCGTAATCCTGCATGCTTGAAAGCCAGCCATTACTGGAGAATGAACAAAGATCTGTAAAGCATGTCTACGGCTCCTAACCATGAGTGATCTGAGTGTACTAATGAAATCATTCAGAGTTCAGATGTAATGAAGAAAAGGGCAATATGACACTACAGGACCAGGACAGCAGACCTCTGCTCCACATGGCCAGAATGAATATACTTCAAGGATAAATGGTTCAACTATTCAAAAACCTGAAAGGTACTGACAAAGACTACAGCAAGCTCTCTAAGATAACCTGAAGACAAATCAAGCACACGTTTAACTGAAGTTAGCGAGAACTTCAGAAAGTGTAAAGGGAGCCTGGAATAATCTCGCTAGCCATAATGTAGACCCCTTGTTGCCAAGGATTGTTCCAAAAACAGCTGCATAAAGATCTGGGATTAATTAGCTACTAGCAATCAAGTTTTAATTGGCCGAACAACCTCCTCTGATTTGTAACTAGTAACAATAATATTTCTTTTTTGGGGGGGTTATCCCATAGAAACAGAACAAGTGATAAATGACTGGCACAGAAATCATACTGTATGTCTCTTCAATCCAGTCTGTTTAAAACACACATCTGCTGCTCTAAAGGCTCAATTGGAAAACCTACAAGACTCCGTTTCATTTCATATTGTGCATCTTGTGCTTGAACGCCTGGAAACACGGATGTAATTACAAAAGCACTTGCCTATAGCAAAAATTTCTAACCGTTCTGAGAGGAAGAGGGGAAAAAAACGGAAAAAAGAGGAAGAAACAAGGGAGGGAAGTAAGAAACAAAGACAGCTGGCAAACATGTTGAATTGAGCCAAACTGTTTGCTGATCTAAATCAGCGTCTCCAGAAGAAATTGATTGCCGACTGTGCCAGCTGGAGTAAGTGAGGGTCAGTGAGCTACTGAGAAGCAGACTCGTGAATTTTAATGCTGCAGTGCCTAAAAATTCACTTGGCAGAGACTGTCCTCCACTCACCACAACCCCAGGAGGCCATCTTGTTGATCTCTGCCAGAGGAAACGGGACAGCAAGCCCAGTGCACAGAAAACAGACTGATATGCTTTGTGTCTTTAGGAGCATTTGATTTTTAGCCACACCCCAAATAGATGATACCCAGCTTCTTCACAGTTCTTCATCTCCAGAAACTCCAGAAACTGAAGTCTGCCACCAGATGGAGGCAACAGAAACAATGCGTACCATAAGACCACTCCTTCCTTCTGCCTCAATTCTGTTGCCTGTGCCTTTCAGTGTTAAGGTGACAAGAAGCTTCACAAGATAATCCTCTTTGATAACCACTTGTAATGATAAAAATAAAGAAAGCCTTATAAATGCTTTATAATTCTCAACCATTGACAGTCCTTATAAAAAACCTTGTTAATTCTATAGAATAGTGTTCTTTTTTATACATGTATGTATTTTTGATACATATAGGGTGAATTTCAGGATTGCCATACAGAGCATGAAACTCCAGAACACGTATGCAGAATTGCTTCTGTTATTTTTTCCCCCAGTCTTGGAGCTGACACTTGGCAAATGAAATTGAAGATTCTCAGTGGAGAGCTGTCTCAGTGTGCACTGGCAGCAAAGAAAGTAAAGAAAAAACAACATTTGATGTTGATTTCATCTCACAAAGATGAATGTTTTTTTAAATCTTCCACATTAATTTACAGATTCCAGCTTTTCACACCTCTGCCTTAGATACCCCATCTGTGTGACCACTCTCACCTGCTCTGTCCTTTGCTCTCCTGTGGTTTATATTCTTGCCACCTTCTTCTCTCACACCTGAAGGCGGCTCAACAGCTGAAGCATGATTTCAAGAATTAACCTGTACTTGTTCTAACTGAATGTATCACAAATAACTGCACAGCGATTCACAACAGTATGAGGAACATGTGCTACACACATCACATGAGAGATTCGGAGATGCAGGAAGTCACACGGGAAAGGAATCTGGCTTTTCTATCCTCGTCATGCCAATGTGGAGGAGGAATAATTAAATCAAACAGTGCTTGGATATAAAGCAAAAAGCATGGGATTTTAAATGCAGGGAAGGTACATTAAAGCTTTCCTTTACATTATTAAGAGCTCACTGACAAAAATGTATTCAGTTTTCATCACAATGCCACAAGATATGATAGCCTTGAAAGAGGTCAAACAAGAGTAACGATTGTTTTAGGGAATATACAAACAAGTTACGTGATGAAATGTTTTCAGTCAAGAACAAAGGAGATTGAGAAAAGTTAATCCATAATACATGTACTCAGAATCCTAAAGGGTATATATAGGTTTCAGCCAGGGTACGATTTCAGACTTAAAGGCATGTGGTCACAACTGGAAACTAAAAAGGAAAGAGCTATGCGTGTCTGGAACAGGATTCCTAGCCAGATGGTAAGATCCAAACCACTTTCACGAAGAGGCTAGATGAGCTAATAAGCTACCAAATGAGCAAGATGGCATCATTGTTTTCCTTCTTAAAAGTTGTCAATGTTTATTTGCCACTTTCAAGTTATCAGAATTCTTTCAATTAAATCACAGACAACACAGTTAGCTGCCTGCACTAACAAAACTAGACTAGACTTGCACTAACAAAACTAGATTATTACTTTGCTTCTACTTACTGTAATTCATAAATGAGCCATGTCAGTGAGGACACTGGAAACTGTTCAGGGCACGCTACCACTGCAGTTCATAACAGAAGTGACACCTAAATCTGTTGAAGTCTCTCTGTAGCACTGGGTCTGATTAGTTATGGAGACAAATGTGACCTAATTTTCTGGTAAGAGGACATAAAAAACAAATGGAAAATGAAAAATATTAACTACTTGTCTAAGATGCCAGATAGGTCTTGGGGAAATAGGGGAAAATGAGTTCCTGCACTAATCCTCCATACAGCCAATGTGTTTACAGGAGGTACGGAGCAATAAGACATTGAAGTAAAACCAAACTACAGAAAGAGTAGGAGCAGTGTATTCATTTTTACCAGCACTATTCAGAACCTACAAGAGCAGCAAGAGAGACCAATGGGAGACTTTCTGCAAACCTATTAGAAGGGTGATAGGAACACCAGGAGATACTGAGGCTCTGCAAGACGGGACCAGGGGATCTGCTTTAAAACCACTGAGCTACACAGACAAACATACTTCAAGTTTCTGTTACAGACGCTAATAGTAAACAGGCTTTTCTTCAGCATTAGCAAACATTCATCTTCATGAGATTTAGTCTTTGTGCATCTGAGACTATTTTAAAATATTTGGGAAGTGTTACATGATTCAGTAGCAGTAGATTTAGTTTTCTATATTTTCTTGATGTACTCTATTGAGCAGATTATGTAATGACATATAAATCTTGTTCTAATGTACAGTATATTATTTTAAATTCTACATAATTACACTTATTTTGGGAGATATCACCTGCTCGTACTGTGATAATAGGGATGCAGAACTCTAGTACACAAAGATCCTTGAATGTCATTATATGAGTGATTGAAACTATTCAGATTCCCTAATCCAATTCTTAAGTGATTAATAGATTTTAGAGTGAACCATGCAAAACAACAGAATGCATAACGAAGCTTAGTTCTTCCCTATTGAACCTTATTCCTGTTAAAGTGCTGAAAGAAGTATTTTGTGTAATTAGGGGGCTCATATTTTAAATGAGTCTTTCCTCTCATGTATAATTCTGTTAGCATTTAAGTAGCTGTGTTTTTAAGCAATCTAAATTAGACTGAAAAGTCCCAAATAATTAATCTACCATTCTTCGCTTAGATATTTAAGGAAAGTGTGGCTAAAAAGTTGTACATCTTAAGTTTTGCAGCTACTTTTTTAAAACCTATCTTAAGCTTTACCATTTTTTGGGGATTGATCTTTACTACATCGTTATTAAAAACCGCCAAGACAGAGTGGTGAAAGAACTATTTCATTATTCCGATTAGGGTAAACAGAAGAAGTTAAAAAGATGATTGATTAGGGGAGTTGTTGCTTTGATTTTCCTGCAGAGTAACTATCAGTTTTTAATTAAGCAACCAAGCGAAAATTACTACTGTAATTAAAAACAGTTTTCAGCCCATTATGACTTACAAATCAAACCTGAAAACAGGAGTACGTGCAACGAATCCATTTCCACTAACCAGGCCGAGACTTTCTCTCTTTTTTAGATGTGCCAACCTGGACGCTCTTTCGCCCTTCAGTGTGTAACTCACAGCCAACGTCATTCCATCCCCTTTCCCACACAGCCATGTGGACGACTCTCACGGCTCTGTGAAGAGGTCTGGTCCAGAGCCTACAGTACCTGTGTGGCCATTTTGCCGTAGTCGATCCAGCGCAGCGTGGCGAAGTTGGTGGACTCGGCGCAGTTGAAGCCGTGATTGAACCCGGCGTGGTACCCGTAGGGAAAGGTGATCATGAACTCCCCAGCCTCCTGAGTAATCTGGGACAGAGAGGGAGCAGAAAAGGAGTCAACACAGCGGACAAAATAAAGACATCCTTCGACAATAACGATACTGGCAACAAAACATATAACATTTCGTACTGGCATTGCTGATAACTCCTGTAATTATGATAAACTCATCACGCTGCTATAGCTCTTATTCCAACATGGGAGAGGTGAAGACAGCGAGTTCTCGGAAACGTGCAGGAGCACTTGTTTCACTGCGCAAGGAGCAGCATTCACTGGCAACACTCCAAGCTTTGGGGCACCTGGCAAGCCTGCTCACCTTGGCCAGTTTGGGCTCAAATAACTGTATAGTCAACTCCTCACGCATAACAGACACCAAATCCAGACGAAAGTTACCAAGCCAATGTTCCCCAGAGCTAAACGGAAAATGCAATGTGGAAGACGTAACAATTTGTAAAGTCTTTTGTGCATGTTTGTATTTCTTCCCCCAGCTTCCAATTCCAGCTAACAAACAGAGATCACCTTGTAACAACAGAAATTACCTGTGCTAAAACAGCTTAAAAAGACAGCTTTGGAGATATTTCCTCACAACTAATTGCTTTTACAGAACCATTAAACTATTAAAACTCTACATGGATTATTAACCACAGACTTTATAGGACACTAAAGTTTCCAAATTAAACAGGAATTTACGTTTAACTATGCAACAATGATAAAATGGGGCTTGAAAAACACACTGATGCATAGTTGTAGGCACAAGCTTGATGCAACAGAAGTCAGATTTTACCAGAAATAATTAAGAAAAAAACTGCATCAAATTTGCTTGATCTAAATTACAGCGAAACGTCCCCCTTTGGAGGTTCCTGATGAATTTTGCAGCAAATCATTTCCAGCACTACAAGTGTAATTATTTAACAATCACAGAAGTCTTGCGTGAAATTTAAGCAGCCTGTTAAGTTCTGAATGCACTCCAGTGCCTGATGGGCCCCACAAGCAACAGTTCAGGCATTCATTCATATATATGAAAAATTGTCTCTACGTTCGTTACCTTAAAGATTACAGAAACCCATTTTTATTTCTGTAATTCTCCATCTAAATGCAGGCATTTCTGCTACAATGCTTTAATTTTGTTTTTGGAAAACATTTTTATAGAAAAGCACATACTAGAAACCACTGGCTAGTAGGAAGAGAGTTCAAATTCACAATAACATGAATATTTCTATAGTAATCAATCATATTAGTTTGAGTAAATTACCTCTGTATAATGTTCTTTGGATTTTTTAAACGGTAAACAGTGGAAAAAGCAGATAAAATAAGGCATAACATGCACTATTTATGTAACTAGATAATGAGATTCTTCAGAGGAGGAGGGCTAGAGCATTTTCGTAAGAAACGTCAAAAATACACACTACTGTAATTTTTAACGTCCCATATAGAACATAAAATACATTTCTAAACAAAGATGTCTGTCTGTGCTCAACTACTCTGTTGCATATGCAGACAAAGACCAAGGCCAATGCATGAGAGAACACGCCACCACCCCAGGCGTGTTGCAGAGTTGAGGGTGCCTGCCTGCACGCACCCATGTTATAGAAAAGGCATGTCGTAATAAACAAACTGTTATAGCCAGCCTGCATTATGTAAGAAACAGGTTATAGCACAAATGACTGTATACATGAAGTAGTAAAGGATTTACTAGATTTACTACTGAAGGTATACTGAATACACATTGTGCATGAGTAACACTCCACTGCTTCATGCTATTTCTCCTGTATGTTTAACATTTGATCAGGAACAGACACTTCTAGAAAGTAGACTCCCTTCCATCCAGATATCTCTGAATAATAATACTTTACACATACAATGATACTTTGATACTTCTGATAATCAATTTACTATGAAGAACTAGAGAAATTTAACATTGTCTATATTTATTATGGGGGAAAAATTACAAACAAAATAGTGGCAGTATTCTGAAGGCAATACCAGTTCCAAGATGGAAAAAACACATTTACACACAAACAACACAACAGGATATTTGGCAAAAGTTGATACTGGATCAATGACAAACAGCCTGAGTGTGGAGGAGGAGGAATCTGGGGAGTGTCCACTGGACTTGGCTGAAATCACAGGAGGAGACACGAGGCAGGAGTGTGTGGACCGCAATGCCTGTGGGGGAGGCAGCACAATCACACGGAGCCAAGCCACTGAAGACCTTGTAAGTCAGAAGATTCATTAAGAAGACGACACAGACAAGCTCCTCCAGCCTCTTTGACCTCAAATTCTTCAGTGTGTGAAACCTGACAAGGCAAACCACCAAGAACAAGCCTTTTCCATTAGAGGATCGATCGCAGCTAAACAGCGGTACAGCAGCAGGGAGGAGCACTGTTTAAAAAGGAAGCGATCAGGAAAATTTGATTTCCCATGAATTCAACCTAAATTACTTTCTAATATCCACCCCCAGCAAAGCCTCGAGCATTTGTTTTCCTTGCAGGGAGTGTTCAAGTACTTGTTTTTTTGTACCGGCGAATTAAGTGCTTGTGAAAACGCAGACAGGAGGGCTGCGCTCAGACATTTAGTTTTTGTTAAAGACCAAAGAACACAGGAGCTTGCGCAGCTGCAATGGGACTCAGTGCCTGGGAAACGGAAATCTGGAAAATGAGGACCACTTCAAAGGTCACAGTAAGACATTGCCTTTGAAGTATGTCTGTGGCCAATTATAGGCACAGCACCGGCTATTGCAAAGATGGTCATTTGGGAGTTTTCCCAGAAAACAAGGCAAAACTGATTAACCACCATCTGATCCTGGGTAAAGTTGTCGACATTGCTCTAGTTAACAATAACTCTTGTGGTTTGCCAGGTGTCTGTGAATCCTCACTGTTACTATAACATGATATAATGTAAAGATAATATGAATACAAGGACAAATTAGTTTGCTTCTTTATGTAACTTCCCTCAATATTTTCCTAGATCCAAAAGCCTAGAGGCAAAAGTAGACCAAAAATCCAGAAAAAAAACAGATCTAGCGTGTGACATGAGAAACAAGATACTGTATCAAGTCAGTGCTAACCTAATCACCAAGGTCATCTCTGTGTACAAGGCATTATTTTAAAATAAAGTGTATTGCTTTTTAAAAAATTGCTTTCTCTTCCCTTTTCGTACGCAAGTAGTGCATATAATAGTGACAAGTTTATCCAACAGCTATTTAAAAGTAACTCTTCCTGTCTAGCTGGAGTAAAAACAGCTGTTCCTGTGACCTTCTGCTGCTTTCATACCTCGTGTCATTCTTGGACTGCACACATTTCTGGAGACTTAAAACAGCATCATCGATAGCTACATCAGAAGTGTTCCTGAGTGTCCTAATGCAGCTGTTCCAGCTTTGCAAAGTTTGAGAATGATTCCAAATGAGAAAAAGCAATTACTAGTTAATTCAATAACCAGACCTAGAACCTCCTTCAGCCATCTCTTGATCAAACATCTGCACAGCTTTTGATAAACATTGAAACATTCTTTAAGTCGGCCTGTGGCTAATGTGGTTTGGCTAGGTTCTTGATTGTTTCTGAAATTTAAAGCAGTCCTTTGGAATGGCTTTGTCATTGCCATTCAGAAATCACTGATTTTGTTATAACATTTACCTATTTTGGAATTGCCAATTGTTTTGATTAAAATGTCCAGCATCAACTTCTGTACTCTCTCTAAAGAGAATGAGCACAGCACTGGACAGGGAGTTAGCACCAAGTAGAGGACCTAACTGTTTAATGCCAGCTTGTGCCACTCCACCAGTTGGGCACCAATATTTGAGGAATCCCAGTCATTGCTTGATAGTTCCCCAGTCTCAAGCTTGCAATATTTGGGCAATAGAGATCTAAGTGTAGAGAGAATGTCCAGCTGTTTGAGTTCTGGCTTCAATTCCAGGCTTGGGTGCCTTCTTTGTAGAGTTTGAAAGTTCACGTCTTTCAAAGCATGCTTCTATTTCCTCCCACCTTCCAAAGACATCCTGCCTGGGTTAACACTCTCATGGGGGCTGCGATTTAAAAGAAATACAGGTGGAAATGGTCCCCCATTTTCAACAGCATTCTAGGGCTTTATTTTGCAGGTCAGATATCCTAAGCCTTACAAGCCCTAGACACGAGCAGAAAAGAGGCTGCATAAGGTATCTACAGCAAAGCTCAAAACGGTTCGCAGTGAGGGAAAAAAAATGCCAAAACACATCTTCCTCCTTTGCAACAGTGGTTTCAAAGAAGGGTCGTGTGTCTGCAAGAGGAACTCGGCATAGCACACGCTCTTCCTCAGGCCTGTCAATAAGGCCCAGACAGACCATTAGGGAACGGGCTCCGGTGACAGAGCTGACAAGTCAATCGGAACACAAAGCGGGAGGATGCTGCTGCCACTCACAAGCCTCCCCTCGTCACTCACCGACTTCACTGCCAGCCAGCGCTCTCGCAGATCGATACAGAATCGCATTATATACACCCCCTTCTAACAGCTTAATGTGTTCTGCCACTTCCCTGTTCTGTCTCCATCTCCTTTTCTCTTCTTATTTCTAAAGAGTTAACAGGTGTTTTTTTCTTTTGCTTTATCATGAGCTTTTATAATATGCACTTTCAATCTTGGTACTCATACTACCGAAAGCAGTAACCAAAATTACCTTTATGCAAAATCTTGTAATAACTGATTTTCCATTTAATTCCTATGCAATTTAGAATTCCAATTGCTTAACAGCAACTCCTCAACAGCATGGATAGTTATGATATACAACTAAGGCACCAGTTACATTATGTAGATTATCTTTTATATACCCTGTGGTGAACGCCAATGCCTGAACCACAGAACGTAGCTTCAAGTCAACGAGTCACCTTAGCACACGCATGTCCGAGTGGTCTGTCTCTATATTTTGCACATTTTCCTTGCCCTTTACGATCCACTGTTCAGTTATGCACCCTCCAAGCATCTCAGCTGCAGACAATTTAATTCATCTCCCTCTTCTGGTCAGTTCTTCCATCTTCAACCTAGAAGGCCGGAACGGACAAATTCATCTGTACGCCATATCTCTCAAGTAAAATCATCACAAAACAACAAATGTCCCTTTCATTTAGAGACACCCTGGTGTGCTTCATCTTTTATGCCCAGTCTTCCAACTTCACTTCAATCAGTACTAATCACCTTTCATAAGGTGACACTGGAGTCTGATAAACTAAATACTGGGATGTTCTAGCCTAGTGACTAAACTACAGATCACTCTGGATCTAAACCTTCAATAACAGATCCTTGCAAGTATTTCCATCACACTCTCATGCCTATTAAACTGTCTCTACAGGATCCAAAAGACTACACCTGTACTGTCCATAATCTCTACTTCTCATTCTTAGACCTCACTCTCTTCCTTTACCGCTGGAGCCCAGATACAGTCCCCCCACCCTAATAAACACCAGATTACTGTCCCAGGGGTGTGGCCAATTATCCATTAAGCCCCAGTGATGCATGCTTCCACCTGTGGAATTTCACTTCTACTGGATGCTAATTAATCAAATAAGGCCAATGCAGAAACTGCAGACATTAACACTTCTCAGACTATACTGATCCAGCTCTAAAGCAAAGTCAGTGGCTCAACTCTTGTGGAAACAACTCCAAGCTATCGGTGACTGGCACATCTGATAGATCTGAGCTAAGGAGCTCTTGGACATCTTGGGTTAATCCTTTGCTCTCAGTGCTCAGACAATCTGAGAAACAACTGAGGACTCCAAAGCAGGGAATAAGTAAGAAATGGAATGGCAAATGTTAAAAAGTAACCATCTTGCATTCTAAAGCCCTGAACTTCAACACTGTTGAAAACTTTCTTCTCTCCCCTATGGTTATATTTTCTCCAGCTCTTCAGAGGATGTTGGTTTGGAGTCAAAGTGACAAAGGCTCTCTTTCAACTAATAGTTCTCTGAATTAAAAAAATAATTTCAAAGTAGTTGAAGGCAGGGAAAGAAGAGGAAAAACAGCAAAGTAAGCTCATCTAAAACTTCTGCTCCTTCTCCTCTCGCTCACAGAAAATCATGAATCAGTTCTATTTTTAACATGTTCTCTGAGGACTTCCACAGAGGGAAACAAGGAACAGACAATGCTCTTGTTGCGCAGACTTACAGTATAATGAACACTGTTAAAAAATAGCAGAGCAGAACCGAGACTGAGTGCTTATATTTGCAGTACATTGGCAAAAAACATGAAATGCAGTCAAGTAATCTACATTAGTGTTAACTCCTCTAAAACTAATTACAACCAGTGCTCACTTCTCTATATACTTCTCTGTATACATAAAGCAGGATGAAGAGTAGAAATTGTTCATAATCGTTTAGGGCTGTGATATGAGACATCAATAATCCCCAAACTGAAGAAAGGTGAAAAAGACATTTCACACTGAGTCAAAGTTTTTGATCTCATCTTGTAATATTTCACTAAGCCTCTTAAGATATGCACACACTGTCATTCATTAAAGTCAGTGATTAAACTGGTCGCTTAACACCTGCGATTGAAGTCACTCTAATACAGTTTCTGACTCCTTCCTAAAGGACCATATTTTTTTACAGTCAACTGTTCCTTAGAAGAGGGTGGCACGGTGGCGCAGCAGTGAGCAGCGCTGCCTCTCGGCTCTGGGGCCCTGGGGCGCCGTCTGCATGGAGCTTGTATGTTGACCCTGTGCTTGCGTGAGTGTTTGCTGGGTGCTCTAGCTTCTTCCCACAGACCAAAGACATACAGTGCTGGCAGGTGTCTTGGCTTCTGTGAGAACTGGCTCTGGTGCGAGCATGTGAGTGTGTGTCTGTCTATCTACCCTGCCTCTCTTCGGCTCCCCCACAACCTTGAATCGGATGAAGCCATTATAAAATGGATGGATGTTCCTTGGAAAAGAAATGAAGTGCTCTCCATCTTTTTCCACAGGATAAATCAACAATTCCACTTTATGTTTTGGCTCCTAATTTGGTTTTGTTGACTTGTAGCTCAGGAGTACACTTTCCCATTTTTTAAAACTCTCAACTGTCAAATTTTCAATTTATAAAAAGTATTAAAAATTTATAAAATTAAGATTGAAAATAATTTCAAGAGCAATCATCGTGGAAGTGAGTGCAAACTTAATTACCTTACTCTTCCAGCTGGAGTTGAAGGGGTTGAGGATGACAATAAGAATAGAAAAGGACAATTACAAGCAAAAACAAAAAAGCAAAGCCTGACTACACTAGTCAACTGAAATTTTAATTGCTTACATTTTTAAAAACCAAAAAAAAACTCCCAAAAAATGTTTCAAGGTAAAATAAATCTATTTAACAGAGTTATTTACCTCATTACGGAATTTGCCACAACAGAAAGGACGTGTAAACATCTACACTTGAGACCTATTACTGCTGCTTAAGATGTTATCCTGCCCCAAATCACACTTACCCTGTCAAAGGGGATTCCGTACTTCTTGAGGATGGAGGGTGAAATCAAGGTCATTTTGTGCCGCAGGAAAGCATCACAGCCTTGAGAACTGCCTGGGAAGAATCCTGGAATGTAGAAGAGATGAGATCGAATTATGGGGATTATTTTTTCATGCAAAGGGGTATATTACAAACAAAAATTTAAAAACCAGAAAGGAACTGAGAAAGGTAAGTCAAAGAACTGTCAGGACCAACGCACCAACAAATAACCAAGACAAATGCACAAATGAATACAGCGGACGCTCTTCTTTACATGAAGGGAGGCGGAACAAGTGCAGAACCAGCCACCCAGCCATGTCACTACGTTTTTGGAAACCTAAAACACAAGACGTACCAAAAAGGATGAAGAGCAGTCTTTTTCAACTTCATAATGTAATGTTTCAAGTACATAATGTACAGAAGTACAGAGCCGAGAGCTGGCACTATACAACTGCCACTTGTTATTCACACAAAACCAGGTACTACAGTGTGTGAAACTAAACTAGTGGACCTGAAATCACTACTGCTGTTGAACGTACCAGCCAGAAATTGCAATTCCTTTGTGACCCAAGAAAATGTTTACAAAATTTTAAGTGAATCATTAAAAAATGTAAAATCATATAGATCATATCCTTCTAACGCCTAATGGAAACACTACAGTGACAGACAAAATTCTTAGCCCTTTGAAAAAGGACTGGAACACAGTACCTTTCTGTTTTTCTTCATTATCTACTTTGATGATTGCACTAAAGATTTTAAAAGATTATTCATTTTCTTTAACATTTAACAACTATAGCCACATTTTAAATGCTTTATTTCTGTGACTTGGAAGAGCAATTAATGTGATGATGCATAGAAAAAAGTATCCTGCTGGGCTATTAAGTGTTACTGCACCCATTTTAAATAAATGCATGTGACTGCCCAACTTCACACAGACCCAATTTATCAGGCAACATCTTCCACAAACTGAGTCAGGCAAGTATATCAAAACCCCTGTTTAAGACAAGGGAACAATTTCAATAATGTAATTTAAAACACACGAGAACAAACTAAATTTATTAAAAGAGAAGCTGACAAAGATTTATAACCACACACATGTAATGTTTTCCAGTCCAGGACGTCTTGCACAATGGCATGGATCTTAGCATGGCAAACAAGAAATTTCAGAAATATGAAGTGGTGTTTCCCTGTCAGTCTTTCATTAATCTACATACGCACTGACCTTGTTCCCAGAGTGACTTTTAAAGACTCAGACTCTACCTCGTTGCTCTGCAAAAATACTCTTAACTATGAATAACATGTAGCTCTTTATGGAACACTATTATAAACCTCAGTCCACAAGCAGTTAACAGCTCCAATACATGTTTAATGCCAGGAATCACTAAAATATTAACAGTCCCTTCACTTACGCTGGCCTCAGATCAAGTAGCATGGCACTGAGTCCTTAAAATACCAATACACAGCAGTGCCCCTGTAACAGTGCTACTTAAAGAGAAGAGCATAATGTGTTAAAGTAGCATTACAAAAATACATCAACTCCTTTAGCTATTAAGAGGAATTTCTCATGAAGGTAAAAAAAAAACTCATGCTGGTTAATTCCAGTTGATTATAGCTTTGATAAGCAAGAGATACAAACACAAAAAAACAAACATAGGCCAAGGGCATTTTGGCACACACTAAAAGGTTTATACCCTGTCCAAATGTAAAGCATGTGTAAATAAACTGCTTCTGTGCCTTTTGAACACTTAGACAACATTCTCCATGGTAAATGGATAAGTTAATGAGAACACAATCTTTGCTCTTAATCATGCATAACATTTCAGAAACGGACATCACAAGGGGGCCATTAAGTCCATCTTGCTCACTTGACTACAAACAGAACAGTCGCCCAAGAATCCCAACAAGATGTTTCTTAAAGGAAGCCACAAAGTCAGGTTTAAAATAGTCAATATCTTCTGTTACCATTTATTATTTATTCATCGCAGACTCCATAAAAAAGCAAGTTTTGTTCAAGTGGAATAATCATAGCTTCAGCTTATGCATATTTTTTCCATGAAACCATGAAAGTAAAAAACACATTTAAAATATATATGAAGTGTGAAATGTTTTATTCATGCATGTTCTTAGAAAAATATATTATATGGATTTTGGTTACTGATTTAATGTTTTAGAATCAGACTGATTAATTGGTCATGCCTAACAGACCATGAGACACTTGAGTGACTTTCGATTGTTGCACAAGTACTACTTCAGATTAGAGAAAAGGCTGATTGTGCATAAGAGAAGACCTGCTGAACATCAAGCTTGATTAATATCAACAAAGGAAAATTGAAAAGGGACCAAAAGAATGAGGAGAACAAGCTTTAGGGTTATCAGTATGTTGCAAACTGGACTAAACCCCCGTCACTTGCTGTCAGGGTGCTCACATCCAGCAATTTCCCACCTGTCATGATGCTGCAGCTGAACAGTCAACGTTAGACCGCAAGTCGCCGCACCTCACCAAGATCAAAGAGAAGGTCTGAGTGTGATGGTCTGGGCGGACGTCTAGTCACTACAGACCACCACTTGCAATGACTAGCTTTATACACTAAGTGCCTGCCTCCCTGACACACACGCGGCAGGTGGGAAGAGAGCATTTAAGAATCTGAATAGAAAACCGAGAATAGCCGCTATTTGGACTGTGCATTACCAGCCTTTGGCTGCCACAAAGGCATTTTCCAAACTGTCACTGGAGTGTGACTTGCTAATATGAGGGTTCAAAGACTCCAGAAGACAAAACTTATCATCGGGGTTTGCTGTTGCTTCAGGGCAGTCAGGCCGTTGAGGTCAACCACGCCTCTCTAAGAAAGTGTTCTTTTCAAAATTGTATTAGGTATCACGGACACTTTCTAATAAAACTCACTACATCCCTCTGTAGGAGGTTGTTGTCTCACACATTTTTTTTTAACAATACTTTACACCTTAAGTTCATGTAGCGATGGTTCAAAACTAAGTTTCTCAGGTTCGAAAGAAAAGAGAACCGCAGGAAAAGTTCCTAAGCTGGAGAAACTGATTATACAGTTTGTTCCCGTTCCACTTCAGGGTGCATGTTTTCCATGTTCACTCGCCGCGAGGGGTATGCCACCACCGGAAATCTGCCGAAAACATGGCAGCAAAATACAAAATTAAAAAACGAGGTCTGATTTTGTAATCACCAGACTTGATGTAAAAATGGATGATAATAAGGAAAACAAAAACAAGATGAATGTCAAGTGCAAGTTTATGCAGAGCGGGGTTAACTACATAATTGAGCACGGTGATGTGTGAATGCGCGCCTGTGTTTACAATCAGACAGGTTGAAGCAAACAGCCTGCAATGAGAGGTAAAGTAAAAACTTGACAGCATTTATCACACAGCGGGGAGTGGCACAGCTGGGGGTCCTGTGACTGCTAAGAGCCATTTCCCAGCTGTATTCCCTCAGCTGTGCCCCCGTCTACGAGGAGAAAATGCGAGCTGAAAAGGAAAATTCCTGCTGCGAAATCTAGCATACAAAAATCTAAATTGGTTTATGATCATAACACACTTCCTATTAAGTTAACTGTCATTTGTGGAAAATGAGAAAGGAAAATGCTTTTTAAAAGAAGTTATGCGAGCACATGAGCTCTCGGCTACATCCTTTGGTGATGCTTTGTGGTTTAACGCATGTCTCTGTATTTATCTTCTGTCATGTTTTCAGTTCTTCTAAATAGCTTGTTACCACACTAGAGGGAACTGTTTTAGCGAGACCTGCACTGGGAAAACAGAGCAGGAGAATGGATTTGAAAAACGGTGATAAAGAGGACCCCTCACATTTAATGGGTATACAGTAAGGTCCCAATTTCACAGACCGGTTATTAAATGTCGGTAACAAAATTGACGGTATCGCAACAATGTACAAATTTCACACCTATGTACTTATTTCGAACTGTGTGAAAGTACTGTATGGTTGCCATCTTAACGCAGGCAGATGAAAACCTGGTGGTCTCACCACGAGCAAGAGCATGAATTTGCATGAATTATGATGTGAAAGTTACCCTTCCTGCTCACTAGTCGTTATAAGCAAATTCCTAACAACGTTAATTATGAGTGTAATGTAGAAGTTGCTCTTTTCTTGCAATATCTAATATTGCCTTGTATGTCTTAGTTTCATGATATTTCAAATATTTGCTATTAATACTGTAGTGAAATGTGCTTGGTCTAATGCACGTTTACAATGTAATAGGGCCAGTTTGGAATTTTTTGTATTCTTTCTTTGAATCACAGACAATGAAGGCAATATAGCACTATGCACATATTAAAACTTTGTCTCTTTTGTGATGTCAATTGGAGGTCGTACACGTTACAGTGCATTTGGCAACTTCATTGCGATTTGAAATGCACCCATCATTGCCAACTCATTATAACCCCAGAATGCAAAAATACTGTTGCAGTTTCTCCTTCGAAAACTGCATCTCACAACTCATATAAATATAAACATTGCATTTTCTATTAACTCATATTTTACTGGAAAACCTGAGAGCTGCACGCTAGTTTGCTGGTAACTGAGTGAATGGATCTGTGAAATCTGCAAAATGTGCTCATAAAGGAAAATCTGCACAGTACAGTAAGTAAATCAGCTTCCGCAAAAGAAACTTCAGACAAAATAAGCAAACTGTTGGACATTTCTTTTAAGTACAGCCATTTTATCTGATATTTCTTGGTAAATAATGTTTTCTTTTAAAATCTGACAGCTTCTTCTGTACTGACTTATTATTCTATTATTTCAAAATTACATGAGCCTTCTCATCTCAACATCTGAGCGTGAAGCTGACTGATAAAACATTTCTGTACTACTTTTGATAAAATTGCCTTTGCCCAGAGTTTCATTTGATATTTCACTGCAAAATAAAATTGCATTTTTGAGGAATCTAAAACTGGAATTGAACACCCAGCTAAACCAGTTATGCCCATCATCAGGCTACATCCTAAACAGGGATTTAAACAGTTCTTGATTATTAAATCAGAGATAACATTAATGGAAACTAAGTACTTTTAAACTACTTTGGAGCTGTTGGTTGTCAAACTTTAAT